TGTGTTGACGTGTGTGTGTGTGTGTGTGTGTGGACGTGTTTAACTATACTTGTGGGGACCAGAAGTCCCCACAAGAATAGTAAACCAAGAAAAATGTGACCAACTGCGGACATTTTGTTGGTCCCCACAAGGTCAAATGCTATTTTTAGGGGGTTTAGGGTTAAGGTTAGAATTAGTGTTAGGGGTTAGGGAAAATAGGATTTTGAATGGGACTGAATTGTATGTCCCCACAAGGTTAGCTGCGCAAGACTGTGTGTGTGTGTGTGTGTGTGTGTGTGTGTGCATAATCCAACCAATCTATGTATGGCCATTGCCAAATACATTATTGATTGCATGTATTTAGTTGAATTATGCATTTTTCACACAATTGAGATTGCTTAGCATCAGCAAACAGCAACTTTATTATATTAAATACATTTTTAGTCTAGGAAATAGTGAATCCATTTTTTAAATGAAATATTGCCAGATTAGTTTCCATGTGTGCTTATACTGACATCGTTCATACTGAATCCACAATGGTGATAAAGAGGAATAAAGGAACAAATTACTTCATGTTTTGGTATAAGAAAGGTTGAGCGAACAATTGGCTCTCATATTACTAGACACTTAACAGCTGTGCATCACATATGTGAGGTAAAGCAATTAGAAATAATTAGTTCAGAGCATGTGGCCCAGAGAGTTTTATATTCCTGGAATTTTAAGTAAACAAGTACAGTGTAATTATAGGGCCATTTTCAGAATTTACATCCAGTTTGAATACTTTAAAAGCACAATCCATTTTTCATCCAAACGGCAGCCCTGCCACTTGATTTGCTATAACGCTGAGGGATGGGGCTGGAGAAATGTTACCACTGTCAAATTCAAGGAGATATGGATGCAAGCTTTTACAGTCCATGAAATCGACATATTTTTAAGCAATACATTATTGTTTTTTTACAAAAGCATTATTACAAACATATTTTGGGTTATGATGGGGTAAATCAATTGTAGGCTACTCAATTCATGAGGCATTTGATAAATGGTATTATTTAAGAATCAATGGATACATATAATTAATTTAAATTATATTGAACAGCAGTTACATTTTGCATTACATTTTGCACTTTTTGCACAGTACATTTTGCACTTTTAAAAATGAATTTTCTCTCCCGTAATTGCTGACCTAACTTCAGGACAGATGAATAACAGCGCTCCGCACCGCCACATAGCTGCAGCATCACCTGTTCATTTAAATCTGATCAGGGATTAGGAAGGGTGAAGGGAGGGACAATCTGCCTGACTGTCGGTTTGCCTGTCTGTCTGTCTGTCGATCTTCTGTCTGTCTTTGTCTGTTTCCTATCCATCATTGATCAGTCAGTCCAACCATAAGACAAAGAGCCAAAGTGATTTACATCACAATCATAATTTGTGTTGATCTGATCAACACCAATAACCCAGTGGAAAAAAATTAGTCATTGTGGGGATTTTTTTATTGTTATTATCAATTGAACAGTATGATTCTACAAAGGCGAGAATTCACCAATAACCAAAATAAGGGTTGCACGCTTGTGAGATCTTCACTTCATATTCTTGGAAACAGACATGGGGATTGTGTATTAGATTAATCCCTATACATTTTTCTGAGGTATGCCAAATTACTTGGGGAATACAATGCAGCCCCGCCTCCTCATCGTCCCGCAATACAATTAGGGGCCAATGAAGCTGTCTCGCACTTACTCACACCTCCTTCCATCTGGAAAACCTCACGCCACTAACTGTCACCCCACGAGCCACACACCCAAACAACCATTTTATACCACAACCTCCCTCTTACCTCCACACAGACACCTTCTGGAATCATTTCCTTAGACCACACACACGCACACACACACACATTAATCATCAGTACATTTACAGGCTCACAGATTAATGAGGACGTACTCAACTAAAACATAATCACAACATCAGTATACCTCCAAAAGTACAATAAAAACATACATTGAAAATATAACTGAATCTTCGTGTGACATAAATATATTTAGCCTCTCTTCGTTTTAGTTTAACAAGATTCCAGTTTTGGAATCTGACGTTTTCTCACTGTAAAAATCATTGGGCCATTCTAGTCCTATAACTGGTTATCCATAATCATGTCAATAAACAAGGCAAGCCACAATACATTCTCCAAACTATTCTAGCAAAATCCCCATTCTTTACAATAAAGAGTAAAGTTCTTGAAAAGAGTGACATTCCGGTCACATAAGTGTAATCTTATAACGAAATGCACCAATTTTAACCAAAAATGTTAACAATGTAATTTTATAGTTTTTGCTCTACAACTTGAAATGTGAGAAACATTTTTTTTGCTTTGGTGAATGTAGCTTAACAAGGAAAGCTGTGATGGATGTCCTTTGTGATATTAGGCTTATGAATCCAAAAAGCCAATATGAATAATAAGATCATAGCCTTCGTTTTTAAATAGTTAGCGGATTCTCTGAAAAACACAACTGTCTTACTTGTAATATCCCAAGTCAGATCAAATGTGAGATTCAGCATTCCTGAAAAAACATTGAAATACACACACGGGCAAATACAGACGCATGTACATTACACATACACGCCATGACATCATAAGTCAGCACTATGACATCATCAACACTGGCTTTGACATCTTCATGCGGTTTGGCTTTTCACTTTGATTGCATCTGCTTTTTTTCTTCAAGAATACAAAGGTTAAAATCCACTAGGAAGTTGAATATTCAAAATCCAGGAAACATTGAGCTTCACAGAGAATAAAATAAAAAAAAATAGGGTAACTAATAATCATGGTGATAATAATAATCAGAGTAAATCTATAGTAATCATAATCATGACTATAAACACACAAACACATATCATAGAGTTTTAAAAACATTGTCTGAAAGTTCCATCAATCCATTTTTGTCTTTATCCAGTCACAGTTAAAGGGGAGAGCTGAAATACTATACAAAGATTTAGAGTCAATACCATGGTCTCCTTATCCTTTCAGTCAAAGAGGAGATTTCAACCCTTTTAAAAATGGCCAGTAAGAACCACATCTTCCATCTTATAACCAGATACCCGTCAAACGCACACATAAATAAAAATTGAACTTTTGCAAATGTACAAAATATGACATTATGTCCACCTCCACCCCTGCAATGTAAAAAACTATGACATGATTGGCTTTTTGTCACACTCAATGTCAACCTCACGAGGGCACAACGTAGCTTTGCAGAATCTACTGTTTTCTTCACACTTACAAAATGTGTCAGTCATTTCTGCAGTGTTGCACAAACTGTATCCAATATTGACACAGAAAAATTCAAAAGCCAACATAGTACAGACCACAGACAAACAGAGTTTTTAGAATAGCCCTTGATGTTAAGTGTCCATTGTTCCCTGTTCCCCCTTTCCCACCTAACTCCAAATATTGTGAACGGCTGGAGTTTCAGAAACAGTAATAATATGTGGAATTCAGAGAAGACTGTGAGTAGTGATTGGTATATTAACTACTGATAAATACATGTATTACCTCACAATCTGTGGTAAACAGCTCAGAAAGGATGATCAATGGAGTAGGAGCGTGACTGGTTTTGGGGATTGTTTTAAGGGACAGACCCATGGGCAGGTATGGCTAAACAAAGCCTTTGCATTAACGAAGAGGTAAACACTGTATGGCAGTGTCTCTCAAAATTAACACAACTTCACTGAGCTTTCATTCTCATCTGATGTGGTCAGCAGTTTTGTAATCTTTTTTCTTTCCGGTGGTCTTTAGCTCCTTAAAAACAATGACTGACATTGTGTCGAATAACAGTGTCGAAGCATTTCTGTGTGACTATAAACGAAACTGGAATCAGCTCCACAGTTTGGAAACTGACCTCAGAGCTGTGACGGGACTGACCGTTGCCGTGGAAATACTCATTAGTGACTTGGGTATCTTTGGGAGTGACAGCCGTCACATCGACCAGCCAGCCAATCGGGCGAGGGTGCAAAGGTGATTCAGCAAAGTGATGTTTGTGTCAAATCATTATAATAATAACTGAGTAAATCCAGCCATAATCAAGAGATTAACCTTATACAAAATGTCTGCAGACTAAGTTATGGCTGTAGTGTAAGATTGTGGTAGCTAGCAACAGTACTCCAAATGTGTCTATTTTCAAGTCTTCCAATCACAAATTAGGAAAGTGATGATGGGCAACTCAAACGTCCACTCAGTTTCAGCCATTCAGTCATCAGGCTATAGCAGTGTGGCGCCCCCCACCCCACCCAACCCCACAGAATATACATACTGTCCAACAGGGCTTTATTCTTTTACAAAAAACAACAATTTACAGTCTTGTATTTTTTACAAAAGTCAAACAACCATCAAATTGTTGTGTATTCCATTGACATCTGTGTCTGTTCAGATTCAAAGACAGGTTTGTTCTCTCTGTCAGAGCAGCTACAGGCTTCACAACAAGAAACTCAATAACCATTTAATCATTTTGACCCAAGCAGGATCCACTAGTAAAAGTCATCATGTAGGATCATTTTTCAAGTGCACAAAAAACCTTTTTGAAATTGTTTATTTTTTGCTCTATACATGGCCCCTTTTTCTTTCTCCCTCCTCAACAATATAGCTGAATATGATCTTTTCCAATAATCAAATCAATGGGCTTCCTTCAAAATTCCCTCTAATAATTCAATTTTCTCAATGGTTTCTTTCTATCATTGCCCTTTTATGTGTTTCCTAGCAACAGGTAACAATGTGATCCACTCTTCTCTCAGGTCTTTCCTTCTCTGGACTTAAAAACAGGCGGTTGTTGGGACGCATTGTCCTCGTCATATCCTTCTCTCTCATCAGCTTGCCCATGTCTCTCCTCTGTTTGTCCTTCTATTCACCTTTCTTTCCATCATGCCCCAATTGACCTTTCCTTCCTCTTCCTTTCTTTCTGTGTGAACACTTTCAGCTTGAACATTCTCAACGCGACCTTCATCTCTCCTTCTCCGTCGTCTCTACTCTCTCACACGGTCACCTCGTTCTTACTAGCCGTCCTCAACGTCTGGCCCCCTCCCCCTCCTCCTCCTCCGCCCCCAGGGATGTATTGGAGCTGTTCGATGGTGTTCTGCCTCTTGTTGGCGAATGCCATCCTCCGTGCGTTGTGGCCCCCAATGGTCCCCGGCACCGCTCCCTGGCCCTACCCCGGCCCCTGGTCCGTGCCCATGAGGGTCCCCCCAGCTTCCTGCCGGGTGGCCCGCCGTGCTCCTCTCCAGCTCATGGCCCGATGTGGGGTGGGAGTTCATCTTGATCATGTGATGGCGGTCCAGCGAGGGTGTGACGCAGACGTTCTGCTGTGATTGGGCTTTGTGGCTGAGGCATCCCATGGTCGGGACCCCCATCCCCCCAAAGTCACCCATGCCCCCCATACCGCCCATCCCTGGCATGCCCATGCCCCCCATCCTCTCCTCCAGACGGTCGGGCGAGACTAGGAGTCTCTCGTGGGACTTACGAAGCGTCTGTGAGGTGGAGCTCTTGCTGGTGGTCATAGCCTTGTAGTACTGGTGCTGCTGGTTCTTAGAGAGTCTGGAGAGGGTGTTGCCCTCACCGAGCGCCAGGAGCTGGTCCTGGGACATGACCCTCCGTGGGGGCTTGTCGAAGGCGGCCTGGTACCCCAACGACTGGGCTGGCAGAGGGTAGGGGTTGGGGGTGGATGTGGGCACGTGGATCCGTGGCCGGGAGGAGTGGAGGGGGAGGGTGCCCCTGGCTCCAAGAGTGTAGTCACCACCCCAGTGGAGGTGGTGCTGGGAGGAGTGGAAAGACGGAGGGGCGTTGTTAGGCCGTCGCTTTGATGTGTAGTAGCCAGAGTAGTCGTCCAGATCTTTCTCTGTTAAAAAAAAAAAGAGGGAGGATGAAAGAAAGAAATTTAGAAATAACAGTTAGTGAAATTCATTCATTATTAGGTGAAACAAAGTGTTCAACATTTCTCGCCCTAAGAACCCTTTAATCTTTAAAGACTTTCCCTGGACTGAGCTCCCTGAGAGCCAATTTAAATGTGACCTTTTGCCAACCGTTGCTCTCTCTGTTTATTCTACAATCCTCCAATACATCCTCCATATAATCTAGCTTTCAGGGGCACCCGTTCGAGACAAACAAGCCTTTATCAACGCCCATTCTATAGACTATAGCAGCCTACATTAAGGGACATCAAAAGGAATCTGACACGCATCATCGGCCGCTGCTTCTTGCCTGTTATGCCTTCTTCCACACACACACACACATATCTCTGGAGCTCTCTCTAACCACCACCACCAGTTCCTTCCCCCCACCTCCAGTCGCCTTCCTCCCATCAGCGGCTACCAACCAGACATCCAGCCCTCTCTCCGCCCCCCTGCCCCTCCCCCACTGCTCCCCTTCTCACCGAGCCTCTTCAGGGAGCTGTAGCGGTTGATCTCAGGTTTCATGGCTGCCTCATAGGAGGGGGGCAGCTGGGCCAGGTTGTGGAAGGAGTGCGAGAAAGGGGGATGCGGGTGCGAGTGCGAGTGCAGGCCAGAGCTGTTGTTGTGCTTGCTGGTGAGGATGGTCCCTGTGGAGGCCAGCTGGGCATTGTTGATGCGGGGCACGCGCTCTGGAGGAGGAAGAGGAGGAAGACAGGAGGACATTTTCAATGACCTGACACATAGGGGAGCATTAACCAGGGACCTAACACATATATATAGGGCTACATTTAGAATGACCTACCATGTTTATTAACATAATATATATGAGTACATTTACAAGGACCTAACACACATAAGCTAGGTAGCTACATTTATAATGGGCCAACATGTACATTTAAAATGACATTACATTTAAAGGTACATATACATTGACGAAACGTGCCAATTCCTCACACATTATCAGTCTTAGAGAATTGCTGCCAATTTGTAATTTGTACGTTTTCATGTCATTCTAAGACGACTAGTACGAAGGTCCCTTGAGCTAATATATAAAAGAAGCCAAGATGATTGTCTGACACTTTGGTCATTGACCATGTACAATAATGGGCAATGACAGCCAATAATGTCTTTATAACCACTGAGCGAGCACACGGGAGACATTGACCATTGTGGAGTAATGCACGCAGGCTTCGGTAAGTGCAGTAACACACTGACTTCACTCAAGCCAAGGCCCACAGTGTAAGTAAGCATACTTACAGTACAAACAGATACACTACATAGTGCATACTGAGACACTTACGAGGGTGACACACAGAATGAGTGGGAGCAGTGATACAGCGACTGTGTTAAGAAAACAGCGACTGTGTTAAGGAAACACACCCAATGGTACATACACAACACCAGACAGACGTTTCATGAGGCCAACTCACACACCCGCCGCCTGTGTTAGCTAGTTAGGCTTACCCTTAGTAGCCGAGTGTTTGGGACTGGAACCAGACACCTGGATAAAATTGTGGTGCAAGTTGCCAACTGCAAGAGAGCACAGCGAACACTGATGGTACAGCCACTCGTGCGCGTATGCGTGAAACATGAGCATTGTGTGCATGTGTGGTGGTGTGTGTTCTGTGGGATTACATGAGCGTGTTTAAGAGTGTGAGTAGGTTGAACGGGACCCCATACAGTCAGCATTACTAGGCTATTGCGTCCACCACCGTTGTCCACCATCATCACCGTAATGGTTCATATATCTGAAAACAGGCTATTACTCTATTGCAACGTAATAACAGTGTTATAAGAGTTTTATTATACCAACACTGTTATAACATTGTTATTACAGTGTTGTTATTGTCCCATGCTTTCTGTTGCGTCACTCACTGCGGTTGTCTTTGCTCTGGATCACCGGGGTGTAGAGGTTCTTGGGGGGACGACCGAGGCTGTCTCCTGTGATGGAGGTGGTCAGGACGGTGCTGTTGTTCCTCTCCCCCTGTTGGACTGGACTGGCCTGGCTCCGTAGGATGTCCACCAGGGCTCTGGGAGAAGGAGGAGAGAAGAGGGGAGAGGAGGGGAATGAAAAAAAGAGAGAGTAGAACAAACAACTTTCCTTAAAAAAATTACCACCAATGTAAATGTGTTACTTGTTCATTGATTGTGGTTCAGTTTCATCACCCCTTTGGTATGTGGCTTGTGACCTTAGTGAAACTCAGTAACATGATGAATTTAAAAGACTACATCCCACTGACAGACCCACATACACCCATACGGTCATTTTCAGACACCACTCCTTCTCACCTGGGCATGTTGATGTCTCTGTTCCGGGGTCGTCGTGATATCTTGTGGAAGGCCACCTTGATGCCCACTGCCACCACTAGGGTGAAGGAGATCACCCCTCCGATCACGTACGCCGTGCTGTTGCTCTGCTGCTGCAGCTGCTCTGAGTCTGGGTCACCCCGGTTCCCCGGGGGTGGGGTGTTCGTTGGCGGTGTGTCGAGCCACCCGGGTGAGTTGTAGTTGTTACATGACTCCTGGTCCAGGCGGCTACGCTGGTGGTCACAACAGTAGCGGTAGTGGCAGGTGCCACAGCAGTAGATGTAGGTCCCCTTGGAGCAGTTGAAGGTGCTGTCTAACTGGCCCATGACGTCGTAGTAGGCCCGGCACATGTCCACATCCACCAGGCGCCGGGGGGGTGGAGCTACCTGGGCGGCCCCCAGCGGAGGTTTGAGGGCGTCAGCTGCCGTCATGTTCTGAGGGAGCTTGATCTGGGGGAGGGGCTTTGGGAGCGTTTCGGGTACTTTCGGCTCACTGTCCTGAGCGTCCTCCATTTCAGCCACTTTAGGCGCCACCTTCGCCCCCCCCGGGGGCGGCGGCATCGGTTTGTTCCCAAAGCCAGTGAGGAGGAACAGGGTGGTGCCGCTGGGGCCGCCATTGGATGAGCGGCGCTCTGTGGTGATGGTCACAGCGGAAAGGACGAGGCCGGACACAAGGAAAAATATGAGGGAGGTGCTGAACATCCTTCTGTAGGTTCTAGGCCTCATTTTTCAAAGTTTCAGCGTTTCTGAGCCAATGTAAAAGATAAAAGGCCCGTCAAATGTTCAAATATGAAGGTCCTCTTCCAAGAGGGATAGTGTTCTCCTCTCCTTCTTCTTAGAATTTCACTTACGTGTAAGTGTAAAAATATAAAAAGCTTACACTCAAGGTTTCAACTTAAATATGGTAAACTAATCCTTTGTTAGTGCTTCCATGTACAGTACATACACTAGTGTGGAGGTTTTTACTTAGTTTTTGAGGGATTTTTTGTTTGTTCAAGCAATATATGTGGCATGTAACTTGTATGTATTTATGTAAACATATCTCTCAAGCTCTCAATACAAATCCATTATTGTTCGTAAGCAGCTTATGTAAACATTGAGGTTTATCTATTTCTTTATTTCTACTTTTTGAAATACTGGCCTATATTATGGCTATACTTATGACTATTTGAAGTTTGTCTCGACAACTTCAACTTAGCACACAAAAACAAAACAGAATGATAAGGATGCTGGAAAATTGATATATTGTAAACACCAGTCAATTAAGTGTTATTTTATGGAATGGTAAGAGAAATTATTGGACTTTCTTGATAATTTTGTGGTCTCTACTGTGCAGACCTCGCCAAAATGGCAAGTATGGGTTGTCTTTCTTTCTGATAGGCAGTATTGTCTTGTAAACAAAATCAATGTGTAAACGTTTCGAACCCTTCTGAGTCTTTTGAACTCAACTGACCTATGGCACAAAGTTATGAATAATGTAGCTAGCAAATCCTCTTTGAAGGGAAGGTGTACTCTGTAAACATTAAGCGTTATATGTCAACTTTATTTGAGTACTTTTCATCTATGCTTATTCGTATTATCACTTGGAATTGGCACTTCAGTTTTCTGTTGTAGGTATTTGACCCGCAAACCTTTCTGTAAAACTTTAGTCAAAAGCTATTTTAACTTTTTTTAAGTCCCATTTCTAGCTCTTTGCGTGAATTGTAAACAATTGTTCTGGCAGCTTTAGGTGTCTCTAATTCATCATATCAATAAATGCGCTTGAACAGATTTGGCAGTTTATTAACAGTATTAGTTTCCTAGGGACATTTATTTTGCACTGAACTTTCTATTTGTTCACAAATAAACTAAATTGAGGAAATATTTTTCAGAGAGATTTGGGATTCAAAATTCTCACTCAAATACAGTGGTTGGAAGCCTACAGGGTTTGCAATATGAGACAAGGACCAATCACAAAGGCCTGTCACAAGGTCCGGTGAAAGTGGGTACTGCAGAAATGTACCAAGCAGCATATATAGTTGAGGCAGACTGGGACCACACAATTCACACCTAACTTAGTGAGAAAGGGAAAACTAAGACATAACACAGTGAGTGATGGACAAAATGAATAAAGGCAGCCGGAGATAGTACAAAAATTGTTTGATGAATTAGGAAAAGGTGAGAGGGGAAGGAGGGACGAAATGGGGCTAAGGATCTATGTGCGTTTGATCCCCTTGCGTGAGTGTCTCTGCTCTGAGTTTAACTCGGCCCAACAGAATAGAACGAAGGTGGGCTTGGGCCCGGTTCTGGCAGGACAGCGCGGCTCTGCCCACAGAACAGACATGAAAATGTCTGGATTCATTCGTTCAATGCAGAATATGTGGAGAAAATGTACACTATGATATGGTCACTTTCCAGCCTAACCTAACCTGGGCTGATGACTACAGATACATAGTAATTGTGACCTAAAAAAGAAACGTAGAACAATCTAATATGAATAGCTTTATAAGCTATTTTCTTGTAAAAATAAATAAATGGAAATGGTATCCTAGTATCATATAAGCTCTTCACTGTATCCCTGAATGTATGAGCGCACCTATATTTGAAAGTCACTATATGAGATGTTGTCGGTGCAAAGAAATCTTAAACATAGTGAGATGATAGTTCTAAATGTTTGGTCATCGTATGGCTGGTGTAATATGGCTTAAGTGTTTCTTTAGTAAGTGTTCAAGTTTATCTCTTTTGAAAGACAACATCGATACGCTCAGGGGCTGTGTTGCATGTTTTGAGATGAAGAAAAGACGAACACAAGGGTTTGAATATCATTCGGGTTAAAAGGAAAAAGGGGGCTTTTCAGATTGTTAAATGTGGTGTGCCTACATGTGCTGTATGGGAGAATGATGGAGAGATTCTGACAGAAAATAAGAAAAAAATGGAGGAGCGATGGATAAGCAAATGAGCGATAGAATAGCAGCAAGGTGAATTTATCTTGTTTATGTGACTTGTGTTGCCCATCAGTCAGTCAAAGCCCAGTTCGATTGATCGCTCTGGGGCCGAGCTGTCAGAGCCCGAGTAAGTTTGTGAGTTATCACTGCTTACCATGTTCCAGCTAATGCACTACAAACAAATGCAGGCCATCCATTAAAGATTAGTTTATAAAGCACTTTGAACCAATAATGCACTATTCGTCCAAATCTGAAAGATTTTAGAAGCAGAATAATTGTTTTAACACTGACGAAGGACAATGAATGTACGTTTAACACCTCTCTACAGGCATTAGGCTAACTCTCCACAATTTGGTTCTAACTACATTTGTATTGATATAATGTTATGAGTTTATGTATGCTATGAGCTTCAATGCTATTTTCATGTAATAGGGATCTGAAATGTGTATTTTATGTGTTAGGGAGACTAATTAAAAATTTGTATTTTGATATTGAATCTGAACACTGTATGAACTCAAGATGACACTAACTGAAATATAAGGTATGAATGATAAATGGGACTTTTTGATAGCTTTGTTGTTGTCGATATTTTGCTTTTTCCTTGGCACAGTTTGTTTGGCACTGGTTTTGGTCTCGCTTGAAAACAAAACAGGTAAGAAAGAAAAACAGTCTGTGCAAATTAAGGTCCAAAATCCCCCCCCAAAGAAAGAAAACAAAGAAAGGGATGTAGAAAGCCCGTTGTAATTAGCAAACAGCCTCTGGATCAAAAGCAGGGGAGAACATCCCCCTAGTTGTTCCACCTGGCCAAGACAGTAATGATGATGTAATCCAGGTTTGAGGTTCTTTCTGTTCTTTTCAAATTTCTTCAACTTCTTTATTCCTTTTTTCTAAATTGACACTGCAATAAGAAGAAGAGAGCAAGCTGATCAATGGATGACCTTTTCTTAGTCCTCAGTTTAGCCATCATGTTTCCTATTCTAGGAGTTAGGTACAAGACATACAAAAGCACTAGTAATGGCAACATTGAACAAGCATGCATGATTACTCCTACATAAACAGTTGTCTAATAACTGATATAAGCAGTAATTAACAAGTACAAACATTCACTCTGTTTGACTAAATCGATTCATATTATGTGATATCCACGGTGTACAAATGACAATGCATTTTGCATTATTGCATTAATTTAAAACCAACAATTTCATTTATTCTAATCATCATACTGTCCACAAATCTGTAACATAATACGATTTGGAAAAGCTCATCCTTTCACAACAGACCTTGAATATCACAATCATAGACTCCTGAGGACCATAGTCTCATACATTCCTTTGTTAGATAAGGACATGTGAGATCACACTACATTAACATCAACTTTGAGAGAATAGACGCTTTGACTTCAACAAAAACAGCTAGATGGGACATGATGATGAGAGACACCATATGGCTAGTTCTGACACCGAGAGACGAGTGTCAGGGGAGAAGAGTAGGTCTCATAGTAAATAGGCCTCAAGAGGAGAGATAGGAGGGGAGAAGCCACAGATGTGAACAGAGTGGGGGGTTGCCCTGAATGGGAGTATCCTGTTGTGATGAGAAGAGGAAAACAGGAAGCAAAGCTGGGTTGGGGGCCCTAACAGTGGTGTCTCTTGTGCTGGAAAGTTAAGGGTGCCTTTCAAATCAGTGACTGCCCTGGGGTCCATTTCCATTATGTTTCCTTGATGCAGCAATTAAGAAGCTACTGAAAACAGCTGATCTCCTCGAATGTGAAGCTTTCTAGGCAAACACATCGTTTCGACAGACACACCGCTCAGCCTGGCCACAAATGGTGAGATGTTATGAGTCTGTTCGGGTGCATATGGAACAGAGCATTCCGAACATGTATGCTGCCTGAGCATCTGCTGATGCCTGGCCCTGCCGAGCACAGGTCTTAAAGAGACAGTGTACACGCTGACACACAGCGTATTAGCACTACACCGACCCCCCTCGCTCCCACCTCCCTCCCTCCCGCTCTCTCTCTCTGCCAGTGAGTGGGCTGGAGCAGGCTCTCTCAGAATAGCACTGCAGCATTGAACGAGAGAGGGAAAGAAAGTGAATGAGCAACACTGTCCTCCACTGTTCTCTCTATATCCATATATATTTATACGTCTATTGTCTTATCAATGCCCTTCATTGTACAATGGGCTTCGCTTCACCTCTTCTCCTTTCCAAAAGATCTCTCTATCTATCTCGCCCTCCTCCTCCTCCTCCTCCCATGCTGCTCAGTGTCAGATGTTTGTCCACCTCACTGCTCCATCCATCCCTCCCGCAGTCCCTCCATCCCCCAGCCCACCTTTTCTCTCCATCTCTCTCTGAACTGAAGCATGCTGGTTCAAACGGCAGTGCACTAGGACAGTGTGCCTTTGTAATTAGGTGTCAGCATGCATAGGCCTCCGAAGACGAGACATCATGAATTATGGAAGCACTTAATTACCTTAGACCTATTACTGACTCCCTTGATAGTGAACGATAATTACCTTTAATACTGGGAAATGCCATAGTATAGTATAACTGCACAATTATTGAACTATTGTGGCTGTGTCTCAATGTGCCATATCATGTAGCATTCATTGAGCTTAGTCTATAGGTTATTTGTGGTAGATGTTATATGGACAAGACTCCCACAACTAAGGTTTTGGGCAGCAAACAGGTGACTATGTGACAATGTTGTAAAAGCAAAACCATATCCATACATGCTTCTGCACATGAGCGACCATGAACATTATGCCACCGTTGGTGTGTCGACATTTGCATTCATGTGGCGTT